CTTTGCCACTTCCTGTCCAATTTTACTTTTCTACCATCCAATCAGACTGTGGGTGATGTGGCGTTGTTCTGGTCTTTCGGATGCCAAACAACTTGCAGCATTCTTGGAACACAGCTGATTCGAAGTTACGGCCTTGTTCTGAATGCAGTTCATATGGCATACCAAATCTGAAGAAGAAATCATTAATAGCCGAAGCTACAGTTGTAGCTTCCTGATTTGGTATTGCATATGCCTCAGGCCACTTGGTGAAATAGTCCATCACCACACAAATGTACTTGTTTCCAGCACGAGTTTGGGGCAAAGGACCAGCAATGTCAATGGCTACTCTTTCCATTGGTGTGCCAACTTGATATAACTTCATTGGAGCAAGTCCCTTATGCTTGGGTCCCCTTTTAGCACAACATGTACTGCACGTCCTGCACCATTCTTCCACATCTTGCCCCATATGTATTCAGTAAAATCTGTGTCGTAGGTGACTCAATGTCTTCTTAACTCTGAGATGCCCTCCTGTTAAACTATCATGGGATTGACGCAGCACAACTTCCCGTAACTTTCTCGATATAACTGTTTGCCAGGTCGTCACTTTCCCATCTTCGGACAAGAATACAATCTTCAAGCTTCAACTGGTCCCATTGTGCCCAATAGTTTTTTGTCTAGACACCTTCTCCCAAACAGGGCGCAAAACACTTGCTTTTAGAAAATCAATTATTGGCTTCAAATCTTGGTCTTTCTCCTGTTCTGCTTTAATATGTATACCTGGTTCCTTTTCACCATCATCAACTCCTTCAGTCACTTTGACTTCAGCTTGATGACACCTGGTTAGTTCAACCTCTCTTTTGCAGCAATGTCTGCCATCATTTTTACAGGGTCTTCGGCTCAGTCTGTCGGCATTTCCATGAGATTTTCCTTCTCTGTATTCAATATCATAATCATACTGGTCTATCTTTCCAATCCAACATACCAGTTGTCCCTCTGGGTTTTTTAATGATCTTAACCAGCGTAATGCAGCATGGTCTGTCCTGACGGTAAACCTAGCCCCATAGAGGTAAGGATGGAAATATGTTAGACTCTTTGCTATAGTAAAGAGTTCCATTCGTGTTATACAGTAGTTACTCTCTGGTCTACTCAGGGCCCTACTGAAGTAGGCCACCACATGTTCGTTTACACCGACTTTCTGAGACAACAATCCTCCAATTCCGACATTACTAGCATCACAATCCAATATGTACGGCAGTGAGGGATTTGGAAGCTTTAAAAGTAGAGCTGACGCCAATTTTTCTTTCAATGTCTTAAAAGAATATTGGCAAGAAACTGTCCATTCAAACTTCTGACCTTTTTTGTCAAATCATGTAGTGTGGCAGCTATAGTTGCAAAGTCCTTCACAAACTTCTAGTAATAGGTACAGAGTTCCAAGAAACTTCTTAACTCTCCCACATTTTCTGGTGTTGGCCAATCATGTACTACTTTCACCTTGTCAGGATCAGTTCACACAATATGCTCACTTAAAATGTGATCCAAGTAAAGCACCTCTTTCTGGAACAAGTGGCATTTCTTGTGATGGGGTTGAGGTTTGCTGCTTTCCAACGCTTGAATACTTCCTCTGGCCGGGATACTTCCTCATCAAATGCTGCTCCAAACACAATGACATCATACAGGTACATTAGGACTATCCTCCATTGTAGGCCTTCCACTACTCTTTCCATCAGCCTCTCAAATGTTGCTGGAGCATTGCTAAGCCCGAATGGCATCACACAGTATTGCCAAAGACCTTGGCCATAACTAAATGCAGTCTTAAGATTATCTGCTTCAGCCATTTTCACTTGATGGAAACCCGACTTTAAGTCTAGAGTTGAAAACCACCTGGCTCCACTTATGGCATCAAGAGTATCATCAATTCTTGGCAGTGGATATGAGTCCTTTTCGGTTATACTGTTAATAGCCCTGAAGTCCACACAGCAACGTTAAGTCCCATCCTTCTTATGGACTAACACGATGGGAGCTGACCAGG